GCTTTCATCGCTCCTTTTATCTGCGGCGACATCATCGAATCTTCAAAAAACAAATTAACTTGATGGCGTCATCATTGCAGAAGGTAAGCCATTGGCGAATGCAGTTGTTTTCCTAAGCGTCACGTGCGAACCCGAAGTAAGTCTTCTGACTGGGTCGGACCGATTGTGGAAAGCAATGCCAAATAACAGCGAAGTGCATTGGGTGTCGGATAACACAGCGTTAATCGCCATTAACACGAAAATGGAGTGGACTCTCCAAGCAACATCACCCATCGAGGAGCAGGGTGGACAGTGCTCGTATTCGAACAGTCATATCTGCGTTCTGCGAACAGATGTCTATGAGAAGAAAGATTTCTCTTACTCGTCACAACATAATTCGGAGCTCGATACGAGTGGTATTGCACGATAGACATTGCTTAAGCGGGACATCAACATAAGAGGTTTCAACTAAACAATTGATTTCTGAAATGGTCTTGTCTGTTTCTTCTTGTGTGTCGTGTTTAGTTGCGCTCTCCAGATGGTTTTTAGGTCACGATGAAGTTACACTACCAATAAAATCAGTGAAGAATCGTAGCAGTGTTGCCATTTCTTTAAAGTGGCCCTGAAACACTTTTTTGAGTAACCATGGAGTTAATTTACTGAAAAAGTGTAGTGCCTCACAAGCTCAATGCCACAAAATTTTTAAGAATCTGTCAAGGTCACATGCTGCAATCACATTCTCTCTTCTCTCATCCCGACGAAAGCCCTGAAAGCTAAGCAGGGAGGGATGGGAGGGGCCAACAAAAAACATCACGCACGGCTCATGACTTTGAGCACTTTTTCTTTTTTTTATTCGATTACGTGACTTTTTCAGTGCGATCCCACGCGCACTCGTTGACTAGTGACTACCCCCTGCGGCAATCTCTGTACAACCGAGCGCTATGTTCAAATCAGCCAACGGCTGATAGATGGGCTTACTATGAGTGATTTTTGGGCTTATTGTGTGATTTGTCAAAGAGAAAGAAATTTTTAGCTGACTTTGATAATTTATTGTGAATTCCAGGCCTTGTGCTGCACTATAATATTTGGCTCGCGTGTTGTTGGGAGCCTCTACTACCGATCAGCACCATTTTCTGCCCATGCTCAAAAAGTGTTGCAGGGCCTCTTTGAGAAAGAAACAGTTGAACCTTTTTTTAAAAGTTTGAGGCGACACAAGAGAAACACTTGCCACTGATAAAATGTCAAATGTAATTTGCGAAACAGGTACGGCGAGAACCCCAGTTGTGTATGATGCCTCTTCGAACAGAGTGAAAGAGTACTCTCCAATGTCCAACTTGAAGACAAAAACACTTTTAGCGTCAGCTCTCCCTTCGACAACGCGAGAACTTCGGAAGACGGCAACTGGCCTGAATGACTGCCACTGAATGACTGCCATGAAAGGGTGTATTGTGACTCATCATTAATTAAACATGAGCCAGTTTTATTGGTGCACATATTTGAACTGTTATTGAGGCTAACACAACTTTGAAGGCTTTCCATTTTGTTTTATCGTGCAGAGTTTCATATTCTGATAAGAAGTAATGCTCCAGACAGATAGTCCTGAACTGAAGTTGAAGGTTTTGAGACACATTATTTTAGGGCTTACCTACACTTGAGAAAGTACAGTGAAAATTGTAACTGTGGATTATTCGTTGTGGGGAGGGCTTCGGAAAGATGATGCGGACTGTAAAATTCTGCCTGTAGAAAATATTAAGAAAATATTGGAGAAATTTTGACGTAAAGTGTGTAGAAAATTGCCCGCGACACGGACTGAAGAGATGAAAAAAAGTAGTGAAGCAGAGAAATGTTTGTTCTTGGACTATTTGAATGTACGCCATGTAGTAGACGGCACTGCACTGAGTGCCAATAAAGTCTCCAGCGATATTGTTCCACAAAGACATAAAACTTTCAAAGATCAAAACGTGAGAAAAATAACCTTGTTTTGAGCTCGGAAAGATAGTGTACGTAGGAGACAGACGAGGAGTAGACCCGATATAGATTTAACTTATGCAACGCTGCCCAGCCTGCTGTTCTCCTCCCAGAAGTAGCTAGAGCACGTTTTTTTATTGCATGGCGGAATAAATTAGGTTTGCAGAAGACTTGTTACTTTTACTCAACAGCCCTGACTCTCATGCAATTTATGTAGACTCCAACTACAAATCTCTGCCATTTTTTCCACTTCATTGGGGTAGTGTAGTTTGTAGTTTTTTTAAGTGCAAAAATATGATTGTATGGTTAGACCTGCTAGCACGTGAGAGCCAACTATGAGTACAATTATATTTTATATTACCCTGCAATCATTCTGAAAAGTGTTATTGGCCTAATTAACCGAAAGTACACTGAGTATACCAGTGAAAAGTCGTGACAACGAAAGAAGTTGCAAAACATGCACTAGAATACATATTGTGTAAGCAAAGTATCTTCACAATAACCGAAGAGTGCACAGTGCCTCATTTATGTTAAAAAAAATAACTGGCTGAAACGGGCCGGGCTCGGGCCAGGTACGGGCTGTATTTAAAAACGCCGGGCCCGGGCAGGAAAAATCGGCTCATGCACTGCTCTAATACAGAATACTTCGTTGTAATACGAAATAGGAACTACAAAAAAAAAAGGGTTTGACCAGCTGTAAGAAGAAATTGTGTACAATGAGATCTGCCACTGAATCGAATTAGTTTCAAGATTTTTAAAAAAATGCTCATTATGCTGGTGTAATGGCCACTATTAGTTCTAGCTGGATTTAAACATACAACTGTAGTGTGCTCCTTATCTGGAAACCAAAATACTGTGCTGTAAGTGGCCAGTTAGACCACAGTCTTATGAATAGTGTGACAGGGAATTTTGTTTTATTAGCATGAGTAGTAGCACAAAAATAGTCTCTTGCCATCATAGACAGCTGCCTTTTATTGGTGGAGAATCCCACCATGACAGCTTAATGTAATAGTGAAGCTCTCCAATAGAACTTTTCATGACCACACATGTAAAACATTAAAGCAATATTTAGAAAGCATTAGTCATAAGGCTACAATCTCCACACACTTTTGTGCCTCCACATTATAGGGGCCATGACACACCTTTACAAAAGCACTTCTCACGTACAAGGTGGTCACCTTCCTACCAGCGAAATACGGGACATGCTGAACAATAAAAGTGGGGACTGACATAGCACATTAGGAATTTAACTACAATAATTTGTATTTTTTGGCGAGAAACTTGATCTTGCAATATTTTGAGCAAGTAATACAAGCTAAAGTTCAAAAACATACCTGTGTAAACAAAACTATATGCTCCAAAATTAAACAATATTATTAATATCAACATATAATGGGAACAGTTAGGCATAAGAGTTAATGAAGAGCACCTTAGTAACCTGCACTTTGCCGCTGACATTGCATTGCTGAGTAACTCAGGGGACGAATTGCAACTCATGATTACAGAGTTAGACAAGAAGAGCAGAAAAGGAAGTCTTAAAATTAATCTGCAGAAAATGAAAGTAATGTACAACAACCTCGGAAGAGAACAGCGCTTCGAGATAGGTAGTAGTGCACTTGAAGTTGAAAAAAACTGTATATTTAGGACAGGTAATAACCGCAAAGCGGAACCACGTGACTGAAGTAACTAGAAGAATAAGAATGGGGTGGAGCACATTTGGCAAGCACTCTGAAATCACGACAGGTACATTGCCACTATCCCTCAGGAGGAACATATATAGCAGCTGCATCTTGCCGGTACTTACCTACGGAGCAGAAACCTGTACACTTGCAAAGAGGGCTCAGCTTAAATCGAGGACGACGCAGCGAGCAATAGAAAGGAAAATGGTAAGCGTAACCTTAAGAGACAAGAATAGAGCAGAGTGGATTAAGAAACAAACCGTGATTAAGGATGTCATGGTTGAAATCAAAATGAAGAAATGAACATGAACCGGGCATGTAGCACGTAGACAGGATAACTGCTGGTCATTAAGGGTAACTAACTCGATTCCTAGAGCAGGCAAGCGGGTTAAGGGGAGACAGACGGTTAGGTGGGCAGATGTGATTAAGAAGTTTGCGGGTATAAATTGGCAGCAGCAAGCACAGGACCGAGTTGACTGGCGGAACATGAAAGAGGCCATTGTCCTGCAGTGGACGTAGCCAGGCTGATGATGATGATGATAATTAGACAAATAAAAAGATAGTCAAAAGAACACAGAACAGCTCAGTTTCAGCACATTACTTATAGAGCCTGGACTATAGATGGCACCAGACGCATTCGTTACCACTATGAACCGCACGTATAACCGACTTTCCTGGAAGACTGGAGTGCTTGCAGGTAAGTCATCCTCAAACAAGGTGGCCAGATGTAGTTTAAATGAAGGCACAACCAAACAATAAAATAAAGTGTGAAACCTGGAACATTGAAGATGGTCATATCTATTGCGAGATGCGCCGCAAGAGCTCTCAATTCAGGACACGCATGAGCAAGAGCTTATATTTCAGTCCCGCTGTGCAATTGGCAAACACGGTGCATGAGAGTTGTGTGCAGCTATCCTGCTGCATAATGGACCACCTCTGATAACTGCTAGCTCAAATTGGTCACTGAGCGTGATCTACCTTCCAGAGTGCAGCAACGTGAGGCAGGTCAAGTGCCCATTTTTCAAGGGAATGTCTGAATTGCAAGTAGTGCCTAACACGTAGCAAAGCAAAATAAAAGAATATTTCCAAGGCTGTTTGCATACAATATGGGAGGGGCCTTGCTACCTAGCACTGTGTGCTGGCGTACATGAAAGAAGAGAAAAGTTGGCAGTACGGTAACAGTTAACTAAGCTTACATTTGAATCTGAAAAATTTTGTAGCAAGAGACTTGCAAGGCAACAAAGTCAAATAGTGACACCATTCTGTGATCAGTAAAGTGTGTCAAGGCCCCAGTAAACTTTCACTCAGAAGCAAAATACTTCGGTACACTGTGATGCAATGCACCGAAATATTGCTTTAAATTGCTAAACATCGTTATAGCAACTGACTTTCTTTATTGATGGCATTTGAAGATCTCCAAACATACAAAATTAGAGTGTTAAAAAACAGACTACCAAGTCTTGTGAGGACTGCTATAATGTATATGTTTTTGAAACATGATTTCAGTGCACAAGTACATTGGTGCCAGAAAATTTGTACTATTTTATATACAAAACACTGTGGAGAAGATTTATGATTAAATTGTCGACGTGAAAAAGGTTTGGCATAAGGCAGTACATAAATGTCAGCAGGCCCATCAATGGACTCATGGCATATGACACAGTGATGACAACAGGACCATCAGAGCTATAAAAGAAAGGAATAAAAGAAGGCATAATTATTCTAGAAAGCACCTAACATGGATGACTATGACAACAAAGGGTCGCTTGTTGGTCAAACTATATTGAACTAGCAAACACAAATGAAAGAATAATTCTAAGCAATTAAAGAACAAGCTCAAAGAGAATAAAATGCAGATACATGTGCTTTAAGTGCATACACCAAACATCTTTAAAAAAGGTAGCTTAATGAGAATAACAGAACAACAAAAGGAATCCATAATAATTTCATATTAAAGAAGAAGTATGTTATTTTTGAAAATTGTTAATCAAGTATTTGTGCAATCTTCCTCGTTGCACTACAGAAGCTGGACTTCTAAGCCTATTAAAAGACAAATAATTTGATGATACAAGATCTGTATATCCATGCACCATTGTCCAATTGGATTTTACTTGCAGTCCTGCACACTATGAATCAGAGGTTGCACTGACACAAAACTTTAGTGGTGCTTTATAATTATGCGGTCTGCAATTTTTGTGTGCCATTCAAAAATTAAAGATTTTTGCCCCAGGAACAAACTTTATTATTATCAGTTCAAACTCGATTTGTTTGTGAAGGATAAACACAGTTCTTACAATACTAAAGTACGCTGTTTTGTGCAAGCAATTATTTATACAAGAATATGGCATATTCCATCAAATCCACTAATAACAATACCAATTTCAACAATGAGAAGCAGCAGCACCATCAACTTTTGTATGTTATTTATGGTGAAATAACCCGCTTGAATGCATGCCACATTATCAGTTATAACAATAAACTCTGGCTGTAAGTTGTCCATGCCAAGAGGTAATGGAACATAAAAACCTTGAATAGAAAGATGAAACAAGCAATTCAATCCCCCAGTGCCTGACGATAGTTATAGCGCGAGAACAAAACGACGACACAGAGACGAGAAGGACACGAAAGACACGAGCGCTAACTTCCAACTAAGTTTATTGCGCAGAGCGCGAAAATATATAAAGGAGACAGTAACCATGTGACAAAAACCATATGGCACAAAGAGCAGAACATGAGTAAGAGAAAAACAAAAGGAAAAACAAAAGCACGCAAAAACGGCAAAGAAAAATCTATAAGAAAACGAAACAAAAAAGTGAAGATAATATAACTACTTGCGCGCACCAAAACCTTCGAGGAACCTTAGTTCCTTCTCGGACAGAGCCACGGAGGGCTTGCTAATACAAGGCACCTGTTCGCGTGCCATCTGCGCGGCCTCGACAATGACTCGGGTGCTCTCATCTCTGTGCTTGTACAGCGTCGCTGTGTCCTTGAAAAGGGGCACACAATTGGACTCAGTGCAGTGCTGAGCAAGAAAACCATCTTTCCTGTTTCTAACATTGTTAGCGTGTTCTCTCAGCCGATCGTTCAGACACCTTCCGGTCGTTCTGACATAACAAGCACTGCATGAAAGGGGGGTCCTATAGACAACTTCCTGGGAGCATGCCGCATACCTGTTTCTATGTTGAACTCGGCATTCCGTTGATGACTGCGTTTTCAGGGGGTTTGTAGATTTGATGAGGCTGATTAATTTGAACGGTGCCGAGAACAGGGCACGAACTACAACACGTTTTCCGATTTTTTTGAGCCTGTGTGATATCTGGTGTTTGTATGGAATCACGGCTATCCTTTCACGTTCTGTATCCCTGTTGCTCGGATTCTGTCGCTGCCTCTGCTCTGCCTTATTAGTCCACAGGATAGTCTCAGCAATGGAAGCGATAAACGCCTCGGGGAAACCCGAAGCCTTAAGCCGGGAAACTCGAGCTTTGAAGCTCGCAGAGATATTGCGGGTGCACGACCTATTTAAGGCATTCTCAAGACAGGTTCGTGCTATGCCTCGCTTAACTAACTTGCTGTGAGCGGAAGAAAAAGGAAGTAGAGGTTTCTGCGCACGTGGTTCATAACACCAACAGATGTGCTGTGAGCTAAAAACCAGTCTTAAATCCAAAAAGCGTAACTTGTCATTCTCGGGCATTTCATGTGTCAACACAAGAGGCTTTAAACAATCTTCGAACACACCTATCGTTTCAGTTGCAAACGAGTGGAACATAGAATTACAATTTAGAAGAACCAAGAAATCATGCACGTATCTGAATACTTTGACGACATGCGAGCCTTCTAACTTTTCCTGCAGTTTCTTGCCCATTTTTGCCAATAGAAGATCACTGAGTAGAGGTGCTATGCATGAGCCGATTGAAACACCCTTTTTCTGCAGATAAATGCAATCATTCCATTGAACGAAAGTAGAGGTAAGGTACAGCAAAACCAGGTCAAGAAAATCTCGCGCACTGATGTCAGTTTTTAAATGAAAGTTCGATTCCCCAAAAATTTCTATGTTATCCCTTATACATTCTAATACCTCACCGTGAGGCAGAGAGTAGTATAGGTCCTTTATGTCAATTGAAAAACCGAAAAGATTAGATTGATTTGACTGTTTGAAAAATTCTATCAGAGCCTGCGAGTTTTTGATCAAAAATGGGTCATCAATGTTTAGACCCTTTAGATGGGTCTGAATAAACAAGCCGAGTTGCTTTTGCCACGTACCACTTTCTGTCACAATGACACGGAAGGGCATGTCAACCTTATGTGTTTTGGCAGAAAAAAACATGCTGAGCCCATTTTTGTCACTTTTGCTAATAAGCTGTGCTAACTGTTTTAACTTTAGTTTACGACACATTTCCTTGGCCTGCGTTTTTACTCTATCTAGACGAATGTCCGTACAACATTTGAAAACAGAGTCAATAGCTGTGACCGCCTCTGCTCAGTGATCTTCTATTGACAAAAATGGGCAAAAAACTGCAGGAAAAGTTAGAAGGCTCGCATTTCGTCAAAGTATTCAGATACGTGGATGATTTCTTGGTTCTTCTAAATTGTAATTCTTCTATGTTCTACTCGTTTGCGACTGAAACGATAGGTGTGTTTGAAGATTGTTTAAAGTCTCTTGTGTTGACACATGAAATGCCCGAGAATGACAAGTTATGCTTTTTGGATTTAAGACTGGTTTTTAGCTCACAGCACATCTGTTGGTGTTATGAACCACGTGCACAGAAACCTCTACTTCCTTTTTTTTCCGCTCACAGCAAGTTAGTTAAGCGAGGCATAGCACGAACCTGCCTTGAGAATGCTTTAAATAGGTCTTGCACCCACAATATCTCTGCGAGCTTCAAAGCTCAAGTTTCCCGCCTTAAGGCTTCAGGTTTCCCCGAGGCGTTTATCGCGTCTGTTGCGGAGACGATCCTGCGGACTATTAAGGCGGAGCAGAGGACGCGACAGAATCTGATCAACACGGATACAGAACGTAAAAGGATAGCCGTGATTCCATACATACACCAGATATCACATAGGCTCAAAAAAATCGGAAAACGTGTTGGAGTTCGTGTCCTGTTCTCAGCACCGTTCAAATTAATCAGCCTCACCAAATCTACCAACCGCCTGAAAACGAAATCATCAACTGATTGCAGAGTTCAACATCGAAACAGGTATGCGGCCTGCTCCCAGGAAGTTGTCTATAGGACCCCCCTTTCATGCGGTGCTTGTTATGTCAGAACGACCGGAAGGTGTCTGAACGATCGGATGAGAGAACACGCTAACAATGTTAGAAACGGGAAAGATGGTTTTCTTGCTCAGCACTGCACTGAGTGCAATTGTGTGCCCCTTCTCAAAGACACAGCGACGCTGTAAAAGCGCAGAGATGAGCGCATCCGAATCATTGTCGAGGCCGCGCAGATGGCTCGCGAACAGGTGCCTTGTATTAGCAAGCCCTCCATGGCTCTGTCCGAGAAGAAACTAAGGTTCCTCGAAGGTTTCGGTGCGTGCAAGTAGTTATATTATCTTTACTTTTCTGTTTCGTTTTCTTATAGATTTTTCTTTGCAGTTTTTCTGTGCTTTTGTTTTTTTTTGTTCTTGCTTTTGTTTTTCTCTTACTCATGTTCTGCTCTTTGTGCCATATGGTTTTTGTCACATGGTTACTGTCTCCTCTATATATTTTCGCACTCTGCGCAATAAACTCAGTAGGAAGTTAGCGCTCGTGTCTTTCGTGTCCTTCTTGACTCTGTGTCGTCGTTTTGTTCTCGCACTATAACTATCATCATGCCATACCAACTAGCCCAAGCTGCCACACCCCCAGTGCCCTTTTGGATTTGTGATATGCTTCACCACACATTGTTGTAGCATTGCGGAAGAGATGGCTTTAAATATGCACTACGAAGCAAGTGCAGCGGTGGCTTCTGTTAATGCACTTTTAGACATGCAATTTTAATGAAAAGTGGAGACATGGAAGAGTTTTAGAGTTCAAGCTCCAAACATTGTAATACATTGGCTCTATAAGGCTTGCAGCAGTTCGGTGTAAGCATAAAAATATTCTAGTATGTCCGAAAACATGTCATTACGGAGGTCTGTTGGCATATCTGATCTGATGTTATTGTTGCCTCACAACAGCCTGCCATCCTTCTATTTTGCTTTTTTTTGTGCGACAAGTTATAGAGATTATCAGTTATAACAAAAAATTTTTGTTGCCACTTGAGTATGGTTATAAGTCAGGTCAACTGTATAAAAACTATGGTATATTAAAAAGACTGTCTACCACTTGGAAAAAATGTCCTATTGGGGCACAAATGAGAAGATCATTCATCACATCGGCAGCAAGGGCATGCTTTTGTCCCATAAAAAAAAGAAATATATTTTTAAGATGATGTTGAAAGTCTACAAAAAATGACCGCTAGCATCACCCAACGTGGTCAATATACTGGTAGGACAAAAAATCCCAACGGGTATTCCTTTGCTTAAAAACAAACATGTATAGCTTGAAATTCTATTTTATGCACTTGAGACAGGTTTAGGCTGTGATAGAGACAATTTTTTTTCTTCCTCGCACATTGAAAGAGGTGCCCGGTGGCGCTGCTGGTAGTATGGTCATTTGACTGAATGCCTGCCTGCAAACGGCAGAGAAATGCTAACACGGCACCTGTCGC